TTGTTGACTATTATATCTATATTCAGTGCACACGAGTCCGCACAACCCTACGGTCACGTCTGGCGATGATTTGTCCGCTCCGACGGGTTTACTGATGGATCGCAATAATAAAGATAATATGAATGGCGGCACTAGTAATAGGGCGTCCAGAGCTCAGAAGACACCCAACAATAGCAACGATAGAGAGATGAGTGACCACAACAATCAAGCAATTAAGTCATGCCGTAAGTTATATACTGTCAACATTTCATTTATTCAATATAACATTTATGTAACTATTATGCAGTTAAATTTAACTTTATGTAACCATTCTGAATGTGCATTTGTTAAGTCAATACAAAATGCAATTCACTGTATTATTTATTATAAATTTTATTTTATTAGATAAAAACATCAAGTATTCAATATATAAATCTACAAATTCATAAAGATTTTTAAGTTAAATTGTCAATGATCAGTTAATCATATCAGTTAATGATTTTTAATTAATGGATAAACAAAAATCATGCATAATAAAAACTTTTTTTAAAAATTATAACCTATTAAAACTATTGATTTCATTTTATGCAACTTTTAATAAAATATCGTTTATTGTTATGTAAATTATGTGTTTAAAAGTACGTTGAGTTTTGATTTTTTGTTCAGATCTAAAGTTTAGTAAATTTGAAATATTTTATAAGATATATTAAATTAAAATTTAATGTTTAGAATTTGAATTAATTTAAATAAAATGTATGAATTTGTATGCATTTCACCGATTGAATGACTGAATGTCTTTATGTCTCTCATGAATAGACTATATTGAATTGAAATCTCGTCAATGAATTCATTACTTGATTATAAGACATAAATTTGTAAAAGAATTTAATGAATAATTTATATTTTATCTGATTTTTTGTTTTTCATTTACTTACAGATCAAACGATTCCTTCAATAATATCTTTGCTCATCATTTGGTCGATTATAACGAATACAATGTTTAACATTTAAAACATTGCTTATTAAACAACATTTCAGCCATTTGTCAAATACTATTGTTTAATATACAATAATTT